TATACTGAAAAAATCTATATACTCAATTTCCTTAATATATCTTCCTTTCATACAATAAAAAAGTAAATAAGTTATATTTTATCAACTATCGCTAATCAGAAAATGCAGCAATGATTTTAAAGAAAAGGTATGATGAGTAGACCACACGACCTCTAAAATGCCCTATGGCTCAAAGTTTTCTGTAAGTTTAAAAGTTAAAGTTGGTATGTCTATTTTAATTGCAGTAAAAGTCATATATGAATACAAAAATATTCTCGGTAATAGTTATTAGGATTACGATTGGAGTTTGTTTAGTAGTTAGGGCTGCAATATAAATTCTCATCTGAAAAACAGCTAACAGCTCCACTCACCTAGAGAAATAAGTTGAATCCAGCAGGATACTATCAAACCTGATGGACTCTCCGCTTGGACCTATACAGCTTCTAAAAGAAAACAAGCTGCCATATTATTGCTATAAAACTAAATGTGCCTCATACCCTATAACAAAAATGTATCAAATATCTAAATCTAACAGTTAAAACTCTAACACTCTCATAGGAAAACATAGATGTTGTAAGTGCACATCTTTGTGACCTTGGATCAGGTAATGATTTCTTAGCTATGACACCAAAAGCACAAATGACAAAAGAAAATACACAAACTGAAATTCCTAAAAATTTAGAAATGTTGTGCTTCAAACGAACACCATCAAAAAATGTGGTAACATAGCTTGCAGAATACAAAATATCTGCAAATCACTCCAAGCAGAGGAAACAATAGAGGCAAATGCAGAGAAAAATAGCAAGGAGGTCAGTGAGGCTATAGAAAGTGGTAGTGGTGGGGGGGGGGGGGGGGGGGGGGGCGTGGGTGTTGGGGAAAATACCAGGCTATAGAAAACCTAAGGCTTTCTAGACCATAGAATGGATTTTTGGATTATCTTCTGGGTAAAACTGGGAAGTCACAGAAAGGATGTGAGTACAGTGATATTTGACTTTAATTTTTGAAAGAATCAAAGTAGTGGGTTGAGAAAAGACAGTAAGGGAACAAGGGCAGAAGCTAGGAAATCAGTTATAAAGCTGTTGCTACAATCCAGATGGGGGAATGATAATTATTTACATCAGGGAGTAATTCAGGGAAGAAGACAAACAGTTGGATTCTGGATATACTTTGAAGGTAGAGCTGGAGAGAATTTGCCTGTGGTCTGAATACGGAGTGGAATGAAACCAAGGTCTCAGGCTGAACAAATGAAGAATGAAGTTGCCATGTACCAACATGAAGAATACCATGAAGAAACAAGTTGGAGAAGGAAAATTAAAAAAGCAGTTCTATACATGTTTACTTCTCTGTTAATCTATTTTTAACAACTATACTACAGATTTTTGAACAACAGCTGTTAAGCAGTGAAACAGAACCTGAATTTAGGCCTCTTGATTCCAGATTGTTTTTTTTTCCCTAATGAAGTTTTACAAAAGCAAATAAATGAAATTAAAGAGTTTTTCTCAGACCACAGTAATTCAAAGTAATGCACCATTTGTTGGTGATCCAAAAACTGCATTCACAAATAAAAGCTAACAAGTGAGGACATTTTTAAAACACCTGACAAATGTGAACAAGTATTTTGTAGATAAAATTCATAGTAAAGAAGACAGCAATGTTACAAAGATGCAACAAAATTCATTTAGCACATGCTCAATGTAGATAAATATTATGCAGAAGTAAATTTTCAGAAAGATGCCAAATCACTCCTACTTTTAAAACTCGTCTTGATAATAAACACTACCTTTAAACTTTGAACAGTAAAGATTTGGCATTGTAATTTCACTCATTGCATAGGCATAAGCATAAAGAACCTTTTTGCCCTGGTCAGTGTGGCTCAATTGGTTGGAGCACTGTCCCATAACCAAAAGGTTGTGGATTCGATTCCTGGTGAGGGCATGCACCTAAGATGCAGGTCTGATTCCTGGTCTGGGCATGTATGGGAGGCAAGCCATCTATGTTTTTCTCTCACATCGATGTTTCTCCCTCTCCGATCCTTGCTCTCTAAAAGGAATGAAAAGAAACGTCCTCATTGAGGATTAAAAAAAACTCAAAAATCTGATGATAAAATAACTTTACACTGACTTCTGGCCAAGATGGAGGCGGAAGTGGAAGCACTGTACTTCCTCGCACAACCAAGTTTATGAACAACAAAGATTTAAAAACCAGAATGCAACCAAAACAGAGAGAAAATCGAATTGTACCGAAGTCTGACAACGAACCATTCATCCAGACCGGTATAAGGGGCAGAGTCAGCGGCTGGCTGAGAGGGGTCACGGCAGGAAACAGCAGCTGGACTGACCCAGGCACACAGCAGTCAGCAGATCCCAGGCGTGGGGTGGCAACGGGCAGACCCTAGAGGGCGTGGGGTGGCTGGCTGACCACGGTTACACATTCACACTCAGATAAACCAGGCAAAGGAGAGAGCAGTGAGACAGACTGCGCAAATCAGGGCCCCAGCACCAGAAAATAAAGGCTAAAAGCACCAACTAGAAAAACTTTCGGGGGTCAAGGTGCCAGGAGAGGCTCCCAGAAAGTTCATTGTACCAACATGAACTCTCCCTGTGGGAGAGACCCACAGGGTCCTGGAGAGTGCACAAGCCCACCCATCCAGGAACCAGCACAAGAAGGGCCCAGTTTGCTTGTGGGAAGTGGCAGAGGGGACCGAAATCTGAGAAAGCAGAAAAAACACCATTGCCCCTCTCTGACCCCGCTCCCACATTTTACAGCATCACAACCCAGCAACCTGGGATGCCCTGCCCTGGTGAACACCTAAGGCTCCACCCCTCATACATAACAGGCGCAAACAGACCAAAATATTATGGCTCAAGAAAAACAACAGCTCAAAGCTCCAGAGCCAATACTTCTAAGCGACCAAGAGATAGCCAACCTATCAGATGCACAGTTCAAAACATTGGTGATCAGGATGCTCACAGAACTGGTTCATTTTAGATGAGAAAAATGAAGGCTACGCTAAGTGAAATGAAGCAAAATACACAGGGAACCAATAGTGATGGGAAGGAAACTGAGACTAAAATCAATCGAGTGGACCAGAAGGAAGAAAAAACCGAACAAACAGAAAAGAATGAAGAAGCAAGAATTCAAAAAAAAATGAGAAGGCTTAGGAACCTCCAAGACATCTTTAAACGCTCAAACATCCGAATTATAGGGGTGACAGAAGGGGAAGAAGAGGGACTTCCACCAAGATGAAAGTGTAGGTGGAAACACTTTGCTTCCTCGCACAACCAAACCTAAAAACAACAAAGTTTTAACAACAATAAACACAACCAAATCACAGAAAAATCGAACAGTACGGAGCTCGAAAACAACAAACCACTCAGCTAAACTGGTGAGAGGGGCGAAGCCAGCAGCGAAGCAGGTCAGGCAAAAAAGATCCCCTGACCTGGGTGGTGCGCAGGCAGCTGAGGGTATGGATCCCAGGTGCGGGCTAGCTATGGGCGGAACCGGGGAAGGCGCGGCTGGCTGTCTGCGGTCACCCATTTGCGCGCAGATAAACCAGTGAAGAGATGAGCATTGAGAAAGACCGCACAGGCCCCAGTGCAGGACGGCGGGCTCACACATTTGTGCTCAGATAAACAGGCAGGGGTGAGCAGTGAGACAGACCGCCATTGCTCCCTCTCTGACCCAGCCCCCAAATACAGTGTCACAAACCAGCAACCTGGGTGGCCCCGCCCTGGTGAACACCTAAGGCTCCTTTCCTCATACAAAACTGGCACAAACAGATCAAAACATAGCTCAAGAACAACTCAGAGCCCCTGAGCCAATAAATCTAAGTGATAAAGAAACAGCCAAACTTTCAGATGCACAGTTCAAAACACTGGTGATCAGGATGCTCACAGAACTGGTTGATTTTAGTCACAAATTAAAGGAACAAATAAAAGCTAAACTAAGTGAAATGAAGGGAAATGTACAAGAAACCAATAGTGATGGAAAGGAAACTGGGACTCAAATCAAGGGAGTGGACCAGAAGGAAGGAAAAAATGACCAAACAGAAAAGGATGAAGAAATAAGAATTCAAAAAAATGAGGAGAGGCTTAGGAACCTCCAGGACATCTTTAAACGTTCCAACATCCAAACTATAGGGGTACCAGAAGGGGAAGAGGAACAGTCACAAGTGGAAAACTTATTTGAACAAATACTAAAGGAAAACTTCCCCAATCTGGCAAAGGAAATAGACTTCCAGGAAATCCAAGAAGCTCAGAGAGTCCCAAAGAAGTTGGACCCAAGAAGGAACACACCAAGGCACATCATCATTACATTAGCCAAGATTCAAATGAAGGAGAGAATCCTAGAAGCAGCAAGAGATAAGGGGACAGTCACCTACAAAGGAGTTCCCATCAGACTGTCAGCGGATTTCTCAAAAGAGACTTTACAGGCAAGAAGGGGCTGGAAAGAAATATTCCAAGTCATGAAACCCAAAGACCTACATCCAAGATTGATCTATCCAGCAAAGCTTTCATTTAGAGTGGAAGGACAGATAAAGTGCTTCTCAGATAAGGTCAAGTTCAAGGAGTTCATCATCACCAAGCCATTATTATATGAAATGTTAAAGGGACTTATCTAAGAAAAAAAGATAAAAAATATGAACAGTGAAAGGACAGTAAACTCACAGTTATTAACAACCATCCGTAAAACAAAAGCAAACTAAGCAGACAGATAAATCAGGAGCAGAACCATAGAAATGGAGATCACATGGAGGGTTAGCAACAGTGGAGTGGGAGGAAAAGAAGGGGGGAGAAGGTACAGAGAATAAGTAGCATAGATGGTAGGTAGAAAATAGATGTGGGGAGGACAAGAATAGTATGGAAATATAGAATCTAAAGAACTTGTGACACATGGAAATGAACTAAAGGGGGGGAATGGGGTGTGCAGGGTGGAAGGGAATGAAGGGGGGGAAATGGGACAACTGTAATGGCATAATCAATAAAACATACTTAAAAAATAACTTTATATTATAAAGTATAAGCTTTGCGCAGTGGCAGTATTGTAGCCAACAAGGTTTATCTGAGGCACAATTATTGCTAATTAAAGTATAAGGAATATTATCCTCTCATTTTCTTAGCTACAAAAGCAGTATTATTTTAGAAACAGTAAATGTTTAATTCTCCCAACTGAAAAGTTAAATAATTATCCCAATGATTTCTCTACAATGCTAAACTTATTAATATGCTCATTACCTACAATTTCACAGCATTAGTGGATTTCAGAGCTTGGTTTTTAATCACAGCTTCAGAACCTCACTACTATAGAATTGTTTAATAGGTTCCTCTAAAATAGAATTAAACTGATTTAGAATTTGCAATTTAGGAATGTTGTTAAAATTTTTAATTTTTTAGACAGAGGGAGAGATGGAGAGAGAGGAAGAGTTTGATTTGTTGTTCCACTTATTCATGAATTCATTGGTTGTTTCTTATATGTACCCTGACCTAAGATGGAACCCGAAACCTTGGCCTATCTGACAATGCTCTTACCTAGTGAGCTACATGGGCAGGGCATGGAATGCTTTTTGAAGTGTCAAGTGATGGACATTTACCGTAGACACTATGAGGGCATTTAAGGGACGAAGAGAAAGCATGTTTCCTATTCTCATGGCATCTATGGCCCAAGGAAATGGAAGAGTTAAATAAAATATCCCAACACACACTTTGGTACAAAAATAGAAGGCATTTCATAAAGAAGAAACTGATTAATGGCAAAAGAAAAAAAAGTAGCACAATGACTATGTTAAGCAACAATGATTATCCTAGCTTTATGCTTTTGTTCACCTATGTGAACATCAGTGGATCAGTGTGACTGTTCCTCTTTTCCTGGGGCACTTGCTCCTGAACAGCCCTGCTTCCAACCAGAATCTCCAGGCAAACTTCTCAAATACAGTCACAACTCCATCTTAGTTCTTGACCAAGTTTTTAATGGGGAAAAAAAAGTCTCGATTATCTAATAAAACTTCAGGGGTCTTGAGTCTCAATCCAACAACCCTTTAATGCTGATACCTGTATAATCGGCCACACATCTCTCAGGCAACAAAGGAGATTCTGTTTTCAAACAAATCCACTTCTTGAAAAGTTTTCCAGAATGAATTAAGTTCCAAAACTGAGGTTCTACTGTAATATAATTTTAGCTGTATTCCCCAAGTTCCCAATGCCCAGTAAGCCTCAGTATCGAAGATGGCAGTCAATTTTCTAACTTCCGGATTATGCTGTAGCCCTTCCTAAGATCAACAGTCACAAAGAATCCAACTGTCAAGGCAACATGACTACAATAATAGTGAATGCCAGTAAGCCCATATTCCAACTCTCTCAATCACTACAGTTAATTACTCGAGTAAAGAGCAATAAATAATCCAAAATAATTTATTTCTAAGTCAACTGAAAATAAGCACACATTCATAATCCATCTTTTGTTACTAAATGTCAATCTCCTTCCATCTAGCTAAATCAACAGTCAAGAGTCTAACATTTGATTAGGTAACAGAAAGAGTATGCAGGAAATCTGCAAGAGTAACTCAAATGACCATTTCTCGCAATTAGATCCGTTTTTAGAGCTGAAAAATATCAACTACATGTACTGACTTTCTAAGATCTTAGACACAGCATAAGGGGAGTTCACACCTGAAATTAATAAATAAATATACATGGTCAAATTAGAAAAGCATACCAAGTATACTTAAAAACTTCCAACATAAGTCTGAAAGAGCTGTATAAAAGCAAAAGAAACACACACACACACACACATATATAATCAGGAGGCCAAATCAACTAAATATTTCATAATACATATTTGTGAATAAGACAACGCGGAAAGAAAAAATATTAAATACAAAATGAAACATAATGCATAGTACAATTTTATACTTTAACTGAAAACAGAATATCCCAATACTGCTACACTTTTAGGAATGTTTAGAAACACATAAAAATTCACTTTAATAGTGCTTTTGCAAGTCTGGGAAAAGAAGTTTGTACAAAAAAAAAAATCAAAGTCCCTAAAGTGCTAAATCTAAAAATTTGTTACAAAGAACTTTCATTTAACATTTTGATTTCTAGAATTATCAAAGTTAAATATAGATATATTTCTTTAACTCCTACCAATTTTAAGTACTGTCATGAGCCCACCATTCTCTAAGGATAGTTTCTTAAAACAAAATCCAATCATAATCTTATGATGGGTGACTTTGTTCCAAAAACAAAAAACTGGGAAACAATGTCTCAAAGGGCTCATATGAATTTGCAAACCACAATCTTGAACTGTATGTTAAAGAACAACTCTAGCATTATATGGTGGAGCTTTCCCAGAATCACAGATGTTACAGAATACTGATCCTCATCCTCACAATTTCACACAGAGCTGCCTAGATACATACTCTTGCCCTGGCTGGTGTGGCCCAGTGGATTGAGCACTGGACTACAAACCAAGGGGTTGTCAATTTGATTCCGTCAGGGCACTTGCCTGGATTTCAGGCCAGGTGTCCAGCAGGGGGCACTCCAGAGGCAACAACACTGGTGTTTCTCTCTCTCCCTCTTTTCCCCTCTCTAAAAATAAATAAATAAAATCTTAAAAAAAACATACTCTCCAAGGAGAAATTCAAAGTCTACACTTAGTTACTGACCCTAAAGTCTATTTCATTTTAATCAATTCAAGTAATCAAATCCTATGTTAGATTTGTATAACATGCATGGTTTAGAAATATAGTTCTTCTTATTGCTTAAGTAACCTCTCCAACAGCCATAATCCTGGTGTGGGTAAGATAAAGAAATCTGAAAACCCCCTTTTCCTCCCTAGTTTAATTTTTAGAGAGAGGGGAAGGGAAAAGGGGGGGGGGGGAAACATCCATGTGTGTGAGAGAAATATCAATAGGCTGCCTCCTGCACACTGCTAACTGGGGACATGGCCTGTGTCCAGACAGGAAATCACAGAGAGACTCTGGTTCATAGGCTGATGCTCAATCCACTGAACCATACCAGCCAGGGTGAAATATCAAAACATATTAGGTAATGACCTGGTCAGAGCAACATTCTAATATGCTACATTTTCCCCTAAGCACTCTAATGAAATCTCTAAAATATCTATTTCCTAACCCCTTCCCATGCTTTCTCCACAACATTATCACCTAATACATAATTAACTTAAATATTTTGTTTTTATCTGTGTTCCACAATCAGGCTTTCTATATACGAAAAGGCAGAAATCTTGTCTGTTCACTGATGTGTCCCCAGAACCTAGATGAGTACCTTACACATAATGGGCCCTCAAAAAAATAATTGATGAGTTCATGAACAAATTTTATAATCTGGCTGCAGTTTTTTAAAAAGATTTTATTTATTTATCTTTTGAGGGGAAGGGAAGGAGAGAGGGAGAGAAATATCAATGTATGGTTGCCTCTTGTGCATCCCTTGCTGGGAACTGGCCTGCAACCCAGGCATGTGCCCTGACTAGGAATCAAACCACATTTGTTTGGTTCACAGGCCTGCACTCAATCCACTGAGCTACACACAGCCAGGGCTGGTTGCAGTTTTATGAGTAAATTAACTTTGCTATTAAGATGGTCAAGAAAAAAAACTGTTCACCAAACACACACTGAATAACCACACAGAAAGTCATGTTGTTTGAAAAAGTTTATCTACATTAAAATAAGTTGAGACACTACTAGAAAATCTGTATGTTTTAAAAATACAGATAAAAAGGAAAAGGTTTAGTTTCATTTTAATTAAAATAGGGCACATCAGTTTTCCATTCCTCTCAGAAAACACAAAGGAATAAAGGGTGATAAGACAATCGAAGGTAGCACTTGGGACACAGAAAAATTCAGTATTACAATGGCAAGTATTTTTTTTCATTGCCTAAATTGCCACGTAAAATTCATGATTATGAATATTAAGTTCTGTGCTGACTCATTTTTCTCTTAAAAACAAAACCTGTCTTTTCCAGACATGTGAAGCCTAAACCTAAACAGCTAATTAGTTATTCCCATAATTCTCTTGTGAAATATCATCACAAGTACTATATTAATTTTCAGCCTTAAACACTTTAAATCTTAATACAAATCATCTTAAATTGGTCACACAGCCCAACCGTTCAACTAGAGTTCCAGTTCCTTTTAGCCTTTTAGGGCCTCAAATGAGGGAACTTCTCTAACGTCTCTGGGGAAATTGGTGTAAAGTATATCTCCTGAAGTCGTTCTTGTTTTTCCCCTGGATCATTTCATGACATCTCCTCAACTAAGAATGTTATATATTTTTCCTATTCTGCAGTAAAGTCCAGACAGCAAGCAAAAGTAAAATACTGTATGAAAAACAGGCTGAAAGGGTATAACACAAAAGCACAGAAGAAAATGTGAACCAAAAAGAGGAAGATGATGAAAAATAGAGAAGAGATCCAAGAAAACCACTGTTTTGGCCTAGAGAGGATTAAAATCCAGAGGGGGAATACGGAAACTTGATTATTCCAGAAACAAAAGCACAAAATCCTTAGAGAAAATGTAGTCTCTTTATTTGAGGAGTCCTTGTTAAAACTCTAAAAAGCGCTCAGCTGACACTAGAAACGAGTATTCTACCTTCTCTTCCTGTATGTTTCGATACAGGTAGTCTTCATCGGTCAATTAAATGCAGGCTATAGATAATGCGGAATCAATCGCTACAAAATTGCAATTGTGGTTGCCATCTTTGCCAGAAAAAAAACTCCCTGGATTCGGAGGGAAAAAAGGTTATATTAAATTTGGAAAGCCAGAAAACCACGCATTTTCAAGTCAAGTGGATGTGACAAGGGTTAACAGACACCTCCTACCAAACTAACGATCAGGGGATTCAGGGGAAGAGGAAGGGCAAAGGTCTGTAGCCTGGCCGCGGATACAAGGGTGGGGCGCCATAGGGAAAAAAGAAATAGAAGCACAGCTATCCTGGGAGGTCTAAGGGGGCCCGGTGGCTCGGCTCTCGGGGATATCAAATATTAGGCGGTAAGTGATGTCGACGGTCTAATGGCAGCTTTGGGAGAAAGCGGCAGGCTGCTGCTGCTCACTGAGAGTACAGAGGCTGATAGAAGAAGGTACTCAAGAAGCAAAAGAGTAAGAAGCAAAGAGAGAGCTGAGGGCCGCGCAGTCGGGGAGGCCAAGCGTGGGAGGCCTGGCAGAGGCCGCCTAGCGCCCTCGCAGCCAGCCGCTCTCCGCGGGAACGCCTTTACAGTTCCCTCACACTTAGCCCCGGTCGGAGCCGTCCCTGTCCTGGGGAGGACAGCTAGAGCAGCTGTTTCCGCCGGACCGGGGACTGCGGGGGGACAAGGCATCCTTGGGGCAGCAGGCAAGCCAGCAGCGGCTGACTGTGCGAGCTGGAAATGACTCCGAGACAACTGCCGCCAAGCCAACGCCAAACTTCGCCCTTTCCTCCCTTTCGTATTCTTTATTCCCCTAACTTCCCAGCCGGCTGTGTCCGCTTCGACCGACCGAACCCGCCCCCCCCCCCGCCCTTCTTTTCGTCGCCTCGCTCCTCCCAGACCCCAAAGACTAGGGAAGCACTGGCCACCAAGGCCACTCCTGAGCCCGCCCGGTGCCCTCGAGTCCCAGACACCGCCCCCGACGGAACACTCGCATCCTCTCGGAGGCTCCCTAGCCCGCCCAGATGCTGCAAACTCCTCTCACCTGCATTGACGCCATGATGGAACCATCCCCCAAAGGCCGGCGAGGCCTGAGACGCAGGGGGCGGAGCCGCCGTGCTCGCGTCAATCCGCCGGGGCGCTGCAATCGGGCGCGGGGGCGTGGCCTCCGATGGAAGGAAATGGCACGGAGGGATTGGCTGGCGCACTGTGCCCGCGGGGCGGGGTGGGGTGCGGTAAACCGTGTTGTCAGAATCTTCTGCCCTATTCTGCTGTCCAGCGTCCGAGACCAGCACACCAGCTTCCTCGAGTGTTTTGAGGAATGCGACTCTGGTTTTGACCTTGTCTGTTGCTTTTTTCCTGACTATATCTGTAGAATCCGATGATGTCGGACCGGTGGGTTTTTTTTTTTCCAACCACAGGTGTATGGTTTACAGATTTCCCTTTCGGATGTTTTTCCCCACTATTGTGCCCACTTTGGGGTCGGATAAAACTTTTCGAGGGGCTGGTTTTTGGCCTTTTCGACCTTGGAAGGCAACGGGATGAGAACTGAAAGCAGAACAGCACTTTGCTTTAAGGACAAGGGTGGATTTTGTACAGCTGAAACTTGCCCAGAAGGGAAGAGAAAATGTTTTTGTTTGGTTTTGGTCTGTATGCTATTTACGCCCCTTCCCCCCAGCTTTTCGATTTAAAAACTTCACGTGTATAAGTAATAGTTACGGTTGTTACATCATTGACATATGATTAGACAGTTGAACCTAGACATGAATTTCTTTTAAAAAGTGTATCAGTGTCAGGTTATAATATACACATATCTTTTACCACATCAAGACTTGTTTTCAACGTTTCACGGTGGACAGTTCGTGGTCATTCTACCTGTGGATGTATTTCAATAGGGAAAGCTGCGCATATGGAATTTTCTGGGGATGCACCAGATCTGCCAAAATTTACCAGATGCCACCTTTTATAAAGCTAAACCAGAACTGAAAATGCCATTGGTTTATAAGAGGAAAATGGAAGCCAAAGGCTTGTACCTCACATTCTATCTCCAAAAAATTAAAGTGGCTGATATAATGAGTTGAAGGCTCTTCTTACATTACCAGAATGAAAGCTTAAAATCTGTCACTTTAGCCCTGGTTGGTGTAGCTCAATAGGTTATGCGCTGGCCTGTGAACCTCACGATCGCAGTTCGATTCCCAGTTAAGGCACATGCTTGGGTTGTAGGAGAGTTCCCAGCAGGGACTCCCCTCTCAGGGACCCAGAGAGGTAACCATACACTGATATTTCTCTCCTTCTCTCCTTCCCTTCCCCTCTAAAGATAAATAAGTCTTTTTAAAAAATCTGTCACTTTATTAACTTGGAGGTATTTTAGAAATTTCTATAAGATTTAAATAATGCAGGATTTCATCCTCTCCACTCTTAAGATGAATTTTGTTTTTTTGGAAAATTCCCTAATGTAAAATATGTTGTTCAAAATGAAAAAGATATTTAAAATGTATTTATTCTTGTGTGGTATAATAATAAACATTATTCATCACTAGAGAGGAAGTTACTATATTGGCATTCTTTTTTTTTCTCTCAGACTTCCGCCCTAACTGCCACAAATGGGCTGGTTTTCTCGTTGTGCAAAAACATTATGTCCCTGAGGAATGTTTGGAGGTTCTAGACAACCATGAATAACCCAGAAGCACATCAAATGTTAGGTAACCCAGTGTGTTGTCAACATTTCAACTGTGAATAAAACCCATATATACCAATGACAGAGGAAAGCTTTTCCAGATTTTTTTTTTAGATTTTATTTATTTATCTTTAGAGGGGAAGGGAAGGAGAGAGGGAGAGAAACATCAATGTATGGTTGCCTCTAGTGCGTCCTCTGTTGGGAACTGGCCGGGAACTGGCCTACAGAGGCCCGGCCTGCAACCCAGGCATGTGCCCTGACTAGGAATCGAACCACGATTGTCTGGTTCGCAGGCCCACACTCAATCCACTGAGCTACACCAGCCAGGGCTTCCAGATTCATTTTTTCTGGAGATCTTTATCCCTATGATCTCAGAAAATTGCTCCAGAAGATCATGTTTTACCATCTAAGGTTCACATTTTTTAAAAGCTGATTCTCCCTAAAGTGTAAGTGACATCAGATGACCCCACAAAGCATTATGACATCACCACAGCCAAAACCACCTACACAAACTGATAAGAAAAGGGGTTATAAGAATCTTGACATGCCTCATAGTAAAATCAACATCTGGTCCTTTGGGTTTTATATGTGTTAAAAAGGATCTTTATAGGAGGGAAAAGTCAGTATCCACCATATCTTTCCTAGGAAATATTAAATAGCTTATAATGACCTCACTAGTTTATCTATGACAGATCTTGATATTCTCAGGACTTAAAACAGTGACTTTCAGATTGGGTGAGGGAATATAATTATCTGAAGGGAACAGGAAATTTTTATATCTAAAACACTTTATTATATAAGGTTCAAAGATTAGGTTCACATTTCTCTTCAGAATACAGCTTATCAGATAGGCAAAGAGGTAAAATGCCTGACAATCCCAAAGGTGGGAGAGGAGGTGGAGCTCCCAAACTCTATGGGAGTAGAATTGCACAATCACTTTGTAAACAATTCAGCAATAATAAATTTAATTTCCCATACCCTGAATCTTTTTAATAGCATAAATTGCAAAAAAAAGAAAAAAGAGATAGATATATTAATGTTAAACTTATTTGGTTCCTGATTCCAACACTCTAGTGTAAGAAAAATATTTTTGTGACAACTGGAGAAATTTAAATATAACATGCATATTAGATAATATAAAGTAATAATTTTTGTTAGATTTAATAATGATACTCATTTTTTAATATCCACAGCAATGAGGAAGGGTTCAAGGAAGACATTCTCATCTCACCTCTCTGAAAGGAAAAACAGAAACAAAACGGGACTGACACAAGTTGTCCATGTGCCAAGGTCTTCCCTTCCAAGGGAAAGGCAGAGCATGGGACAGAACTAAAAGCAGCTGGACTTTCTGGCAGAGAAGGGAACTATGGGAAACCAAATAGCCTAGTAACCAGAAGGACCCACAAAGGGGATCCACTGGGCAAATGCTGCAATATTATTTAGGAATCCTTGGGTTTTAGTAATTCACTAGACTGGAGAGCTAAGAGCAGTCCTTAGAAGTGTTTGTGGGTGCATGAAGAGGCAGCATGAATGAGTCCTTGCTTGAAACCATGACTCCACAGAGTGCCCTGTTATTAGCCTCCTACTGGCTGATCTCGTCAGAGAAATTAAGGCCATTCAGCTACCAACAACTTATTAGTTGGGTGTTGAAAAAGGCACCAAGCTAGGAATCCAAGGCTTGTATTCTTGTCCTAGTTTTGTCATTAGCAAGCTGGGACAAGGCTCCTAATCTCTCTGGGTTTATTATCAATCGAATGAGCAAGTCAGACTGCATGATCTTCGCGGTTTCTTCCAGATTTCAAATTCCATGCACTTTATAGAGTCAAAATTTTAAATGAAGTGTCTAAAATGCCATTTAAAAAAATCTTAAGCTAAAATGCAATAGGAATGATACACTACACTATATGAGATAAAAATCACTTTTATAAATATAGTAAGAAATGAATTTAGCTCTGTTATCATTTATGTATACAGCCCTGGCTGGTGTAGCTCAGTGGATTGAGCGCAGGCCCTGTGAAGCAAAGGATCATGGTTTGATTCTCAGTCAGGGCACATGCCTGGGTTGCAGGCCAGTTTCCAGTGGGGGACACATGAGAGGCAACCACACATTGATATTTCTCTCTCTCTCTTTCTCCTTCCCATCCCCTCTCTCTGGAAATAAATAATTATTTAAAAAATAATTTATGTATACATACTTGGGGTTTTAGTTAACAATTTAAAAATGCTAATATAATCCAATTGAGCTATAGATGGGATTTCATAAAGAGGCAGAAACTTTAAATTCACAAGTTAGAGTAATACTTTAAGAAAAGCATATCAACAAAAGTACATAATTTTTATTCATTCTGAACTGGAACTAGTCATTTCAGGTGAATCCACAAAGGAAAAAGAAAATTAACATAGTAACAAATGGTTTATATGAGAGAACTATCTGTATGACTTATTTTACATGTCAAATAGTTGATTTATACACATAACAGGTTTGTCAATAAAACTGTGAATCAGAACTTTGTCTTTAGCAAGAATTCTTTTAACCACGTCTGCAATCTTTCAGTATATTACCTGCTTGCTCCTCCCTTAGACTTCTTACTAAATATGTTCTTAGCAAGTTATTCTTTTCTTTTTCTTTCTCTCTCTCTCCCTCTCTCCCCCACCCCTTCCCTCCCTTCCTTCCTTTTTTCTTTTTAGCCTTAGACCCACTTAAAATTCAAACAAAAGCCATGGACACACATACTTATGAAACTTTGTATTTCAGCGAGTTACCTGACCCTCACAAGTCCATCCATTGGCAGAGGTGTGTAAACCTCAAGAATACCTTTCCTAAAGAGGTGACAGTGGAGATCAGCTCAATCTCTTGCCCTTCAAAACATATCTTATATACAGATATAGTTTCATAGTGCTTCTTTTCCTCACATTTGTTTATATTCCAGTCTTCCTGAAAAGCAGGGTGCCGTATAGAAAGCTCTAGATTGGGAACCAGAAGATTTGAGCGCTTGCACTGATCCTTCCCAAGGTGATACTAAACTTATTTAAGAATAGATATGGCACAGATGTGGCAGAGGACCTAACTATGCGGAACAGAAGCTGCTCAGTGCTGGGGGCAGGGGCCTTGGTGCTCCCTGCCTGGTGGACCCAGGTATCTATAATTGGCTCATGGGGAGCTCTGTGGGAATTCGGAGGCCATTGAAGGGAGATTCTTTGTGGGAGCCACAAGGGGATGGTTTAAGGGCATTGGCTATTTACTAATCTCTATAGAAGTTATTTTATTTTCTTCTGGAGGGGTGACAGAAATGTTCCAAAGGCAGATTATGGTGATGGTTCTCCAACTATATAAATTTACTCAGAATTACTGAGCCATTATTAAGGGTGAATTTTATGGTATAAAAATTATACCATAATAAAGATGTTCAAAAAAAGAGAAAGTTATTGCAATATTTAACACAGCCATTACCACTAA